CCGCCTTTCGTTTCTTTTGGTTATTACCACTTCGGATGAAATGAACTGTATTCTCCTTACTAATTGTTTTTTATTTACACTAATTACACTATCTATAAACACTTGCATTAATAACTTGTATAATCTATTTGGTTGTATACATATATTGGGTTTTATTGGTAATTGTTTGAATTGTTGAATATGAATCGAATTGAATGAATTGAATGAATCGAATTGATGGTTGGATATGAATAGATATAAATCGAATTGATATGAATCGAATGCGTTTCATTTTTTCAAATTTCAGTATTTATATTAGGTATTGACGAAAGCGACACGCCCAAAACAGGCATCTCTTGGGGTAGGTAATTGACCTTACTGGTCTTGTCTTCGGTGAAATACCGAACCCCAATAAATTCGGTATTTCCGCCAATATCATAAATTTATGGTTGGTCGCAGATGTTTACTTAACAACTACTTTGAATTTATCCTACACTATAGACCTAATAAAATAAAATATACAGAAAAACTACTTAAGAAATATGTACAGTAATATACAAAATAACACAACACCAAACAGACACCTTCTCAGGCATGAAGGTCTAGTCAGAGACATATTAGAGGCAGAAACAGGAGTTAGGAGGGGTAGGGATAGAACTAGATTATATTACCTACTGTACGCAAATAGTTGAAGATGTGGGTTGTTCTAGTTTTAGGGAAATGCGAAGATTAGCTCAGGATAGGAAAGAGTGGAAGTACGTATCTAACCAGTCTTAGAACTGACGACCTTATGATGATGATGAAAAAGACTACAATTGATTTATTACTAACTAAATATTTTCTCTTGTTTTTTAATGAAACTTCGAACCATAAATATGAAACGTAGGAAATATATACCCGTAGCGTAGCTATCAGGGGTCTAGGGGATGCAGTTCATTAGGACCCCAAGCGTTCAAGGGGCCCCCGTCCCGGCAAAAGTAATTGATGAACAGATTTACTTTTTGTATACCTTGTGCCATCACAATTTGTTGTATTAGTTACCATTACATTGTATCGTAATTTAGATATGCTATGAAATAATTTTTTTGTTTAACCAAATGTAAATATATACCAAAAGTATTTTGCATGTAAGCCCTTTCATTATCTAGCTACGCCACCAAAAAGAAATCACAATTTTTTATTACTTTTTTGCCAAACATTGGCCTCTTAAGACAAAAAGAATGAAACTTTATTTGCATTGTTTTCTAGTTGATACAAACTTTCATCAAGTTAAGATCGATATCCAATAAAAATAAACCATTAAATTCCTTGTGATGTTAAAAAACGTATATCATTTGTTCACATATTGTTTAACCCGGTTCATGATTACAAAGGAATTAACAACTAAAATCGTAAACCAGCCCTAGATTGCTTTCTTTGTTAAAAGTAAAAGTAGCTAACACAACAAAAAAAAAGCGGTTTAGTCCGTTGATTGCTTTAATTATTCGTTTTAGTTACTTAAATTAATGACATGGCAGTTATTCTTTGCATTTCCTACTACGGTTAAACAAGCTAGAACGTATGTTATGCAGTATACAAAGTTAGTTATGAGTGATATTGAACAAACTGACATTAAAATTATTTTTTGTTCTGTTTGACTAGTTTTAATTCAAAACAGCAAGACATATTGGTCTTGGGTAGACATTTCGCCTTTAAAAAAAGAAATATGCCTGACAATTTGCTTTAATTGTTTATCACATAACTATTTTATTAATAAAGTTAAAAAAACAATATTTGGAATATGTACAAATAGTTACGAAGAAGAGTCAGATATTATTTACACTTTAGTCAAAAATTTCGTACTTCGCTAGCAATTTGCAGGATTTCTCCTTTTAAAAGTTGTGACAAAGGCTCAAATTCATCGTAGACTTTTATTACAATACGGGATTTCTCATAATTTGAAATAAGAAGGAATACATGGGAGAAGGGGAAAGAAAGAAATCCTCCAGACCATTTCAATAAAGAAAATTCCTACATTTAATTGTGAGCTTTCGAGTTTTATGAATGTGGCCCCATTACATTGCAGTCCCGAGTAGTGATGAGCAAAATTGATTTTGGTCATGTAGTCTTGGTCTTGCGAAAATGCAAGAACAAGACTGTCTTTATGCTAACAAGACCAAGACGAAGAACGAATGAACAAGACCAAGACTAAAACCAGAACCGAACGTAAGACCAAAACCAAAGTCAAGACCGAATATGTAAGACTAAGACAATTTCCTTTACTAGATTTTAATACTAAATATAAAAAAAGAAACTTTACCACTGTTTGGAAAAAGGGATCTAAGAGAATATCCTCGTAGTGAGTGTTCTTTCTTCCTATGTCTAGAAGTCCAGAATACACATGGTTGAAATATAGAGACTATTTTTTTTTTTTGATAGTATTTACGCCTGTACTATTTTGTTCGCTAAAATGTCAATTTATGCGTTGGAGGAAGGGTAAATAGAAAATTTTGTGTTTAGAAAAATTATTAAAAAAAAAGTAAGCATCAGATTTAACACGCAAGACCAAGTCCAAGACGATATTAGCAAGACCAAAACCAAGACTGAAACCATATCAGCGAGACCAAGACCAAGACTGGGACAATCTTGTTCTTGATCTTGCTTTATTAATCACTATTAGTCCCGAACCCGGATTGTCCCTCGACGTTAAAATTAGTGCTGAAAGGGTGTGGCGCACAAAAGGGAACTAGGCTGTTTAACAAATTTTTCGCTATGAACGACAAAATTCGGCAAGCTTAAAAAATGATTTTAGAGAATAGAGGAGATGATCACCATAATTTTGTCCATAATATAATCTTCTAACAAGTTTTGTTTTCATACAATTTCTGCGGGAAAACTGTCAAGACAATTTAGGTCAAACACAAGCATAGATGTATTGACAACTGCCAATGAACACCCTCTCTACAGTCCAGATCTTGCTCCTTTTGACTTTCATCTTCTTGGACCGCTCAAAGATACATTCGAAGGTTGTCAATTTTTCATGGATGTATATATATATATATATATAGTCGGATGTGGCGGNTGTCAATGCCAAAGATATATATATATATATTACATAACAGCATAAATAACAACAAAAACATATAACACTAATTGTTTGATCAAGCAATACATCGAATTTTACTTGTGCATGCAGTGCAATTTGTGATAAAAACCTCATCAGTAATAAATATTCTTTCTGTCTGGTTTAGGCAGTAAATAGATGCAGATATACTTATAGTACATTGACAATAAAATTCCATAAACTACTTTGCATAATAGAATTAACCTAAATGAACTACATATTATTCTTGCTTACAAAAGAACTTTTAAAATATTGAAGCCATAATATAGGATGCCTGCATTCCACAAACACTGAACTAATTGACATTAGACTATTTATTGTCAGTGTTGTAGAAAATTATTATTTTTTTATTATTATTATTATTAAATTTAGTATACGACCTTATGTTGCAATCGAGTGTAAGCAACAGAAGTTACATTAAACTTTATAAATATATCATCATCATAAGGTCGTCAATCCTAAGACTGGTTGGATACGCACTTCACTCTTTCCTATCCTGAACTAATCTTCGCATATCCCTAAAACTAGACATCCCACAGCCTTAACTATTTGTGAACAGTAAGCTAATCCACGTCTACCTTTACTTCTCTTAACTCGTGTTTCTGCTTATAATATGTCCATGACTAGTCCTTCATGCCTGAGAAGGTGTCCTACCAATCTATCTCGCCTATTTCTTATTGACTTCAATAGTGATCCCTGTTCTCCTATTCTTTCTAATACCTCTTCATTTCTAACCTTCTCTATCCATGGTATCCTCATTATTCGCCTGTAACACCACATTTCGAACGCTTGTAACCTTTTCTTTTCTTCCAATTTTTCACCTCCTATCTTTATATTTACTCTTTCCCTACTTTTTCTTCCCTTCTTCTTCTTTTACGTATATTTATTTTTATCATCTACAAATCTAACTATATTAAGCTTTTGCCCTTGTATATCTATTCCTAACGTTATCCTGTCTTTGATGATGTTTATCACGTCTTCCTATCCTGTATAGATTAAAAAGCAGCGATCTTTGTGTAACTACCTTACTTCTCTACGTTTCTACTCAAGCTCTATAACTACCTGTTGCTCTTTATACAAACTACGTATGGTTCTTGTATCTCTGTATCTCATCCCTATATTTTTAAGAATATTTAACATCTTGTTCTATTTAACATTGTCAAAAAATCCTTTGTACGCGCTCTTTCTTTTTTTTTATTGTTTTCTCTGTTGTTACCCGTAAAGCTAGAATGGCTGCGTTCAATTTGGTATTCTTCTAATAGTTCTTCCGCTCTTTTTTTCCATTTTTTTCTGTACGTTTTTATGTATTTAAGATTCTTGACGCATGGGAAGTTAAGCCAGTTGTTCTAAATCTATCTGCGCCTCTTTATTTTGGTATCCCATCTATACCTGGTGCCTGATAATTCTTTAAGTTTTTTAATGCTACATTAAATTCTTCTCTCTTTATGGGGTAACCTAGCTCACCAGTCTCCACACTATCTTTTTTTTATTCCCCTAACAAATTAGTTTTTAATTTAGTTTACGTCGACATTAACACAAGGTTTAAACATCTTCCTATTAGTAAATTCTCATCGCGTTGATATTTTTTATGTATAAATGTAAATTCAAAAGACTACAATCCATTCGCTTAAGTTAGATTAAATAACAGAAAAAGCAGGAATTTTGGTAAATAATTTTTGATTGATGGAATTGGAATCTGTTTATTTTTGTAATTATGAAGATGATACGAAGACTTAAATCTTAAAGCGTTATGAATCTATTGATACAGTATACAGTTTTTATATCATAAAAATACAAATGCATATTATCAAACTAGACAATAGGTTCGTACCACGAATTAAAAAACCAAACAGAAAGAATACATCAAACTTGCAACGTGTAAGTGCAAAGCTGTAGTAAAAGTCTAAATGTGACTTACTGGCAATGGATAAATGTAGGGCCGAACCTAATTCTGTTAGAGCATTGCTGAGATCCGCATGGTATTTGCTGAACATTAGATCATCTGCAAGCCAAGGTTAGTCATGTTAGTAAATGTTAGGTTCAATTATAGAGTAATTTATCAACCCCTAGAAGCACTTCAGTAAAATTAATTAATTATTATCCCAGTTAAATAAGTCGGTAAAATAATCCAAGAAATGTTAAATTGCTATAAACACCTTTAATTGACACTAGAATCAAAAAACGATTTTTTGTCTATGCGAACGAAACTTCCTATGAACGAACTCATCTTTTATTACGAAAATCTCTCTGTAATAAAAATATCATATGAGTTTGCTTGATTTTCCTCTTTATAACCCATGAACTGGCTCACTCTCTGATAAAATGATACTCCATAATTGAACGATGAACTGAGCTGACAAAAATATGGAAAATTTACTTTACTTGTTGTTCTACGAAATGAGTTGAGCTAATCATGGGTGTATTAGAAAAATTTCAGTATATAAGCTTATCCTAACAAAAATAAACACAACCACTACAAATAATTCGACATTCCGTGAGGATACCGACGAATGAATTTAGAGAAACATTCGATAAACGCCTCCTTTCGCGTATTTGCCAAAGGGCTGTAGACAACCTTGAACCAAGATCATTAAATTCGAAAATCAAACACTCTCCTCTTCCTCGAAACCTTGAAATTTTCTACTTCAAGGTACGGAGAATTTGATGGGTTGTAAAGTTCAAGATTTCGAGGATTATAAAGTTAATGGTATCGGCTCTTTATCTGCATAAGACATGTGTTACATAGGTACTTATTAGTCTGCAATTATAGTGAAAAAGCTAGGTAGAGCGAGGATAGAGATGAGGACACAACGCCAACGCCTATTATGTATAATAAAGCAGGAATTTATGCAATAGCATTCGGTCAATTCCAGAATGTAGAATGATTCAAAAACGAATGCTGCTTGAAAACTGTGCAATTAGATTTCATTTACGATTGCAAAATATGAAGCCTTTTATGAAAAAAAAAAAACTTTTGGGTTTTTTATTCCCAAATGTCGATTAGAACAATGGTAGTAATTTTTTTTCGTTTATACCGTAAGCTAAGGGACTATCCTGACATGTTTCGACTGTCTATGGTTTCGACAGTAGGTAATTCTGAATGTCAATGCCAAAGTTTGATTATATTTTACATGCCGATAGTCATCTAATAATATATAGTCATCTCTATCTAACAAACATGTCTGTTTCTATCATCGCTATGTAAACCGCTATCCTTACATAGCGGCGAAGATGCCGATGAAAGGATATAGTAAAGCAGTGAGAATAGAGAAAAAGTGCGAATTTATGCAACAACGTCGTTGGTTCCAAAATGTCGCTTAGAAAAATTCGAAAATGTATGCTGCTTCAGAACTGTAGTGAACGCGCCAGCGAGGAGAAATAGAAGATTGGGAGTATCTCCTTATTAATGTCGATCGGAACAAACGTAGTGAATCTATTCGTTTGTTTTGCAAGCTAGGCCATTATCCTGACAAGTTTCAACCCCTACCTGAAACAAACATTTTTCTTTCTCTCTGCATCCCAGTTATACACCTCTTTTCTCGTTGCTATCTTTTTCGTTCCACTATAAACACTTCCATCTCGGTACGTGTCTATCGGTTTATCTACTATAATCGCAGCTTAATCGGTATATAAACGATTTTAATTTTGATGTAAACATTCAGACATTTCTTTCAACTAATAATTAGTGGTAGTATAAAGAATATTTCTTTGAAATCATTAGCTTTTGCTTTAACTACATATGGTGGATAAAACTATACTCCAAAAAGGCCAAAAGTTTTGTCAACATTGTGACCATTTCTTTATAGTGATCGATTTATTTCTTGTTTAGTTTATATACACTGTAACAGATGTTCTAACATTAAAATGCATGTGCATATTATTATGATCACTATAATATTCAGAATGTTTTGGAAAGATAGAAAGAAAAAAAGGGTAAACAAAAGAGACCAATTCATTGTAGATCGATTTTACGATTATTTCGAGAAAAAATCTTATACCGTATAATAAAACTGTAGTGGAACAATTTTAACATTAATATACCACACTTGTCATTATATAGTATATTTTAACTAGTTCCGAGTCGCTATAGGGTGTGTACTTGTAGATACTTACACGATTTATCATTGTACAATTTTGCAACACTGACATTATCTACGTTACTGCCCAGCATAGCTTCCACTATTCTTTCGATGAAATCCCGAACATGCTCCTTTTCCTTTTTTCTGAGCAGTTCCAGATCTTCGTCTATCTCTTCAAAACGACTGTTTTCCATGTCGCCTTGGAGAGAACTATCTAAAAACAATATAATAATTTAGCTATCAGAAGTTTTTTAAAAGGTGAAGAAATTATATATATTCACTTAACCTTTTGTGAACAATTTTTAAAATTCGTGTAAAGGAACAACAATAGTTTTGATAAAAAACAGTAAGCCTGATAAGCCTTTATCAAAATATTAAATACTAGAGTTAGCAGCAGATGGCGATATACGGCCCATACTAAAAATGTTACAATATTACTTTTTTTGAAGTGAAACTTCTTTACGCACGGTAGGGTAAGTTCGTTTCATGCGAGTTGCTATGTAACAAAATCATGCAACGGATGTCTCGTAGTGGAAATCGCTTGAGCCGTGAGCGCGCTTCAAATGCATCGTTCGTTACAAACAACTCCGGCATGTATAGTGTAAAATTTAAATTCATAGTGAACAAATAATACCATTAAACCAATTCCTTAACCCCTATCCCGGTATGTTTGTGTGTTTGAAGAAGTTTTACTTCTGTAGCGTGTTGTATGATTACACGTTGTACTTTTTTTATGCATTTTATATATCAATAAAAAAACGTCTAAAAGACATAGTAAATAGCAACGTTTGATAATTTCCACAATTTTGATTTTTACAATTTACGTCATGTTAGGATTTTAATAATTCAGAATGTTATTTAAATTTTACATTAGTTTCTTAGTAGTATCAGGTTTCCTGCTTTGGTGTTACTGCACTTTATGAACAAGTAAGTCGAGGTCGAAAAGTCGTTACATTCAAAATAGATAATATAATACCTACACAATTTATACAATTCGGCGTAGCCAAATTATTACTTTTTATATGCCTAGTTTGTAATAAATTGGAAAACAAAAAATTCATTTTTTAAAGGAATTTAATAGTTAAATTCGTACGATAATACATCAGCGTGTACATATAATATTTTTTTAAAACAAATTGAACAACAAATACAGTACAATAACATAGTGTATTATCTTATTTATATATTGAATCTCATATGAATAGGTATATGTCAGTTTTCCTTTATTGCAGCTGTAAGTTAACATTTGGTAAATATGTAGTAATTAGGTAATTATCGCAACTTAAGCCTACTCATACCGTATTCAAAAGTATATTCAAGCAATAATCCTTCCAAATTTTTAGTAGGTATCTGTATAATCTGTCAATCAGTCTTCCCTTTAGGAGAATCCTTCTCTAGTGTATTCTTAAGATTTAGGCACTGCGTTGTCTATTAATCAGTCACAATTGCAACCATTTTCACCCCGTTCAAAAGAATCCTTCCTTAATACATCCCTTCTCACGCCTTTATGAATAAAATTTCAAAAGCTCTCTCCTTAGTAAACCCCTAAAGACTCAAGGAATATTCTACCCTTTCAAATCTC